TGCAAGTATGTATATGTATCCCATATAAGCCTGATGACTATGAAGGTCAGAGGAGAGTTGGAACCCTTGGAACTGAAGTTATAGATGGTTGTGAGCCACCATGTAGGTCCTAAGAATTGAACTTGGGTCATCTACCAGAGCAACGTATGTATTTATCTGCTAAGGTATCTTTCTAGCCACCTCAGCTTTAATTTTTAACAAGTTGCTATCTTTTATGCTCAGTCTGTAAAAAGCCTAAAAAGGGGACCATTGAATAATACTTCCTCAGCTTCATTTTTTTAATTTATTTTTTAACAGATTTATTGTTTACTGAAGTGTATGGAAGTATATGTGTGGCAGTCAGAGCATTGGTTGTGGAAGTCAATTCTTTGCGTATGTGTGTGTTGGGGGGGCACACATCTGTGTACACAAATGTATGAATACCCTCAGAGGTCAGAGGCATGCACTGGATCTCCTGGAACTGTATCACAGACAGTTGTGATCTCAGGTGCTGGGAACTGAACTCAGGTCTACTGGAAGAGCAGCAAGTGCTCTTTTTCTGTTTGTTTTTTGAGACAGGGTTTTCCTATGTAGCCGAGGCTGTTTTGGAATACTCTCTGTAGAGGATGCTGGCCTCTAATTCAAAGACACACCTACCCCTGCCCCCAGAATGATGGGATTAAAGTTGCCACCATACCTAGGAAGCAAGTGCTCTTAACTGCAGAGCCATCTCTCCACACTGTAGTTATTTTTAAAATATGGCTATTCTAATGAGTAGCTGAGGATCAGGTAGCATTTGATCTAAGTGAGTTACCACAGAGGAGCCCATCTTTCTTCTTATATACTAGGATCCTAGGTATGGATTAAGGACTCCTGTCCTTAATAGAAAAGTTCTCTCTTTCTTCTTAACTCTCAGTAACCCACTAAAGCTAAACTGATGTTGCTACTAAATTAGCTTAAGAGTGTCTCCATGAAAAACACATTTTCAGTTGTTCTTGGTAGCACGGGCTTGTAATTCCAACACCTGGGAGGTGGAGGCAAAATCAGAAGTTACGAAGTTGCTCTTACTATATAGCCAGTTTGAGGACAGCCTGGGATACATGACAGTGATAGAAGGGAAATGGAGGAGGGAGAAGGGGAAGTGGGGGTGAAGGAAGAAAGGAGAGGGAGTTAAGAGAGAGAGGGAGAGGGAGAGAGGAGAAGGAGGAGGAAAAGGAAGAAGAAAAAGGAGAAGAAATAACTCCAACCAAAGCAACTCATTTTCCAATTAGTACATTGTTTCCTTCATTTTTATTCACCATATGGATCTACGGTTGTACCAGAATGATTGCTCAGTATGTTAATACCCTGTTTTAGCACCTCATTATAATAGTTTAACCTGCAAGTTTAAACTGATGTCTAACCCCCCCCCCCCCAAAAAAAATCACTATTTAGCAGAGAGCAGAACCCCAGATTCAAGAACTGTGCCTTACATATGAGTCGGTCAAATCCTGCAGATGCCAGGGTGGATCCGTTGGGGTGAAACTTGCAGCAGTACACTTCCCCTTCGTGTCCTGAGAGCAACATGATCGGGGCTTGAAGGGAAGAACACCGTGGAGGCCCCTAGACCAGAGAGAAGCATGAGGCAGCCACTGCACAGGGCAAAGGAGGCGGCGAGGCTGGGGAAGCGCGTTTCATTTGGCTCAGTGCGGCCAGAGCCCCCGCCTCCCACTGCATGATCCCTTGACAGTCCAGCATCTGTCCAACCTACGCTCTCCTCCCTAACTCTGTTTTTGTTCCACGGCCAACTTTTAAATGCTTAATCATGCTGAACTCATTTATGCCTTGGGATCTTAACATGGAAGGATGTCTCACGCATGAGTCCTAGCCCTATTTGGCTCCTTTTAAATACTTCTTCCCCAGAGTCTTTCTTTCCTCACTCAAACTCAAGTAGCAGCCATCCTCCTGCCAGTATTCCATTAGCTCCAATGCACTCTGTCAACGACCCATCACTATCTGAACTTACCTTCCTCACGTCACTGCTTATGTTTCTTTTCCCCAAAGAAACGACACTCTGGGAATGCAGGCATACTATCCATGCCAGTCACCATTTCTCAGTCTCTAGTTCACCCAACTAGCTTCTGAAAACCCTGCGTGCTACAGCCTATTACACAAAACAGATTTCTGGGGTACGAGCAGGATCTTGATATGTAGCCCAGGCTGATCTTAAGTTTTCAGTCCCCCTGAGTGCTGGTATTCCAAGTGTGTATCACTATGCCAATTGCTTGGCAATTCTTCCAATTCTTATCAAATGAGAACAAGTGTACTGCCAATAATCCTGAAACCTCTTTAGAATATTCCAATATACTTACTTACTTTTATTATCATGTGTTAAACTATCCAAAGTAATGGCTTTCATTATAAATTACCCACAAACATAAATAATGTACCATGATCATATTCACTCAGTATATTTATTTAAAAAAATAGTCCATGTGGTCTAGAGAGATAGCTCAGTGTTGAAGAGCACTTACTGCTCTTCTAAAGGACCTGAGTTCAGTTCCCAGCACTCATACTGGGCAGCTTTCAAATGCCTGTAACCAGGTTCAAGAGATCCAACATTCTCTTCTGGCCTCTGAGGGTGCCTTGGCATACATGGGGAAAAAAACTCACCTACAGACACACACACATATAAAAATAAACCTAATACCTAGGCAATGGGGAAACAACACACAACAAAACAATGGGCCTTGCATTCTAGTGGAAAGTGAGTACAAGGAAAGGGCAGGGGGGGGGAAGGTAAAACACCCAGTGTTGTGTGCCATGGAAACAAACAATATGGGTTCCAGGGTACAGGGTACTCCAACTTAGAGTAGTCAGGAAAACGCCACTGAAAAACTGGTATCTGAACAAGATTTGAAAGAGCCAGTTTTAGATGTTCTCTGCTACTTTGTGGATACTTCTTTTTCTACCCTCTAACCCTCTCCTGTTTTAATGCCCTAACACTAGATAGGAGAGAAACAAGGATAAAAGGAGAGAAGAAACAGGAAAATCCCCGAATCTAATTTCTTTTGTTTCTTTTTTGACCACGGTTACTAACAAACCAAAACCAACCTCCCTAAATGATCAAGAACCACTGACCTTCCTATATCGGGGCTCTGGCATTTATATATTCTCTGAGAAGTTCCCAGAATTCCAAACATCTCACAATTGCAAAAACTATCTGGAGCTGGCAAAACCATGCTTCTGCTAGAGCACAAGGCCCAGCATAGTCAGCCGCTATGGCTAGTCCGAAGCAATCCCATGTCCCCATATCTGGGATTAAAATGATAACACACTTTAAAAACATTTCTGCATTTTTAAAGAAATAAAAAATTCCAAAATTGTCACTACAGCCAATAGCTAACCATGTGGGCATTTGGAAGAACACTCCAGCAAATGCAACAAAGAAAAATCTAAGACCATATATATTTGGTGTCACTTAAGCAAGGTGACATATAGAAAACTGGTAGATAAGGAAGGTAAAGAGGGGATTATTATTACAGAGAATTTGATTTAAAAAAAAAAAAACAAAACTCAGAATAGGAAGCTAACAAGATGTTTTCAGCAGAGAACTTTGTGATTTAGTGTTTTGACAATTCCCCTGGCTACTGGACTAATAACTAATCCTTGATTCAAAGTCAAAACCAGAAATACTAATTAAGTCCCACCTATGATGACACCAGATGGCATAAAAATGGTTTTGACTAGAAGGTAAAGACTATAGCTAAATACTCTTTTCTTCTTCCTTCCAATAGGATTTTGCTATAATAATAGCCTAGACTGGCTTGGAACCCTTGAGCCTCCTGCCTCAGCTTCTTGAGCGATGATTATAAATGTGTGTCCAGCCTTTTTTTTTTTTTTTTTTTGGGGGGGGGGAGTCAGGATCCTGCTATGCTGTGCAGGCTGGCCTCCAACTCCTTCCCTCAACATTTTCTTGTCAGCCTTCTGGAAAGCTGGAACTACAGTCCCACTTTACTTATATATTTTGAGGGCCACACCAGAAGGATTTGGCTAAACAGTTGGGACAGGAGGACCATCTATTTCCTCATCTAAACCTAATATCATAATATGGGAGGTGTGATCATTATTTCACAAGGCATATAGTTAGGAGGATGAATTCTGATTTTTACAAGTTTGCTTTCTCCATTTGCAAAATGACAGCTCCTTCTAGGCTGTTTCCAAGATTAATGGAAATTACACATGCAAACACTCAACACAAGAGACAACGGGTATTAATTACTGTTAATAATATAAATTCAGAAAAAGAGAAAATTGTACCAGGTAGCGAAGAGAGCGGTATCATTCATTTCCACTATCTCCCCTCTTCCTCATTCATTCGTCTACTCTGCAAACTTTCTTGAATGTTTATTTTATGCTGAATCCCTGGTGGGCACTTAGGATACGGAAGCCTGGGTCTTGATTTTGAGGCCAAGGTTCTAAACGACTCAAAGCTATTTCGCAGGGACACACGAATGGAATAGGCGCAGACCACAAGGCACCTTTACAGAGGCCTGCTCTAACTTCAGGTTCACTGTCTTTCCGTTCTCGCAGAGGCGGTACCATCCGTAGGAAGAGGGGCGGAGGGCCGAAGGCGTGATGTCGCCCTACTTACCGCCTGCAGCAATGCCCCCGGAGTCGCCTGCTGCTGCCCGGCTCCGGGGCCGGACCCTGCCGCTCCCAACAGCAACTCATGTCGCGGCCGCTTGACGGGAACTAGCGGTAGCTCCGGGCCTTTGCGCTTGGGCTGCTCGATCATGGCGGTATCCACTCTCCCCGGCGCCGCCACTGACCGCGCCGCCGGCCTCAGGCGCCACGCTATTGGCTCCGACTGAGTTCTTCCTCCAGAACTTCCGGAGACGAGTAACCAATCGGTTTCCAATATTTCCTTCTGCAACGCCTTCTGAATACACTCCTGAGATTGGGTCGTTTTGATGACGTCACGAGAACGCGCCCTCTGGGATTGGAGCGCGGGGCTGGCGTCCCTCCCAGGCGCGCCGTGCATTGTGGGTGAGAACGAGCGGAGCAGCTCCGGCGTTCCTGGCGATGAAGCGGCGCCCGGGCTAGGAGCCGGCGCGGAGTAAGTGTGTGGGGAACCAGGAGGGGGGCTGTTCCAGTCTGGAAGCTACGAGTCGGTGGTAGGGCTGAGCCTGCCATTCTCGCCTGACAGCCCCGCCAGTGCGGAGCAAGAGGGGTCCCCGGAAAAAGTAGTCCCTTTGCAGGCTGGAGCGGAGCTTTGGGGATCTCTGGCCGCAGGACTCGAACCCTCAAGGCCGTTATCCCAAGACAGCTGCTCTGCACAATGCCGATTCTGCGTCCAGTTCTGTGCTGGAGTTCCCAGGGCCAAAAGCCCGACTCCCGGCCTCCCGCCTTCAGTGCCGGGTTTGGCTGAAGAGACGGACTTAGGTTTTGTCACTGGTTCAGCCGTCCTTTTTAAGGGCTTAATTTATGCCCCCGAGACAGTCAGTGATGAGGGAGATCAGATGGCTCCTGCAAAGCCCAGTTTTGTTGAGAAATTTAAGCTTGTATACTAGGCCTTCTTGTACGTGGTCCCAGTGATATTTATTGTGCAGAGCGTTGGGGGACGCACCGAAGACGGTCCCCAAACTCAGGGCGTGGGAAATGTGTTAAACAAAACCCAGCAGTTTGTTTGGAAGGCTAGCTAAGAGAGCGATGCCTCATGCTACAAGTAACTAATGTAAGCTTGAAGGCTTTTCAGAGGAAAAGCTTCCTGAGCCGTTGCTATCTGCTGGGACAGTTCTAATTAGGGGAAGAGAAGGACGAATGCTCTGCACAGAACAGCACGGGCAGCGGTGCTCTATCACTTGGAAAGGAGATAACTCTGAGACAACAAAGGGCCAGTGTGCTGAGGGAGAGCTGGAAGGGGATATGTATGTGACGAACCCGGGTGTCATGAAGATTTGCAGGAATTTGAAGCTTTTACCTTAAAAGTAATGGGAAACCAGTGAGAGTTTTCTTTCTCCTCCAGGGCATGGGATATGGCGGAGGAAGTGATCCCTGAGGCTTACTGGTGTGATAGACTGGAAACAGGTTTACTGGAGGCCGGTAGAGCACTTTGGGAGCATGCACAGTAGTTCTGATCAGCAATGTCAGTGAGAACCAAGCCGCTGGGAAATAAATTGGACAGGATTTGGTGATGGATTGGATTCAAGAGAGATTTATGCTCTTAGTCCAGACCGGGAGGCTGAGACAGGAAGACTGCTACAAAACCAAGGCTAGCCTGAGCAACGTTGTGATTTTTCAACCCACACCAAGCTGCTAGAGTGACACCTTCCTTCTTCCTCCTCTCTAAATTGCACAGGAAATCATGTGGTTCATGCCTGTGACCCCAGCACTTAGGAGGCAAGGCAGGAGAATTTGAGTTTTAAGCTAGCCTGGGGTACAGAGTTATCTTTTTCCTTGTTAAAAAAAAAAAAAAGAGAGAGAGATTTGTCTTATTTTATGTGTGTGAGTCTCCTGGCAAGTTTCATGTCATCTTGTCAGAAGATAAGGTCATCTGAGAGGAGGGGACCTCAATTGAGAAAATACCTCCATAGATAGGTCTGTGTAGGGTATTCTCTCGCTCTGTTTCTCGTTCTTTTTATTTTTTCCAGACAGGGTCTGACTATGTAGCTCTGGCTGTCCTGGAACTCACTATATAGACCAGGCTGACCTTGAACTCAGAGATCTGCCTGCCTCTACCTCCCAAGTGCATGTATGTATTGTACCTCATGAATGCCTGGTGCTAGCAGCAGTCAGAAGAGGGCCTCAGATGTCAGATGTCTTGGAATCGAAATTATGGATGGTTGCCAACTACCATGTAGGTGCTGGAAACCCTCACTCCAAGTCCTTTGCAAGATTAGCAAGTGCCGTAAACCTCTGCTATGTCTCTCTAGCCCCTACATAGTGAGATTCTACCTGATAAAGCCAGGGGCTGGGGATGTGACCTCTGGGTTTAATCCTTAGTACTGCAAAAAGAAAATCAAGACCTCCCACCCCCAACCAAAAAAAAAACTGCTTAAGGTTTTTGTTCTGTGGGAGGAGCAAATAAAAAAGCTTTAGGCAGGGTATAGGGTGCACCTTTAATCTGAGCACTCAGGAAGAAAGGCAGGTGGATTTCTGTGAGTTTGAGGGTAGTCTGGTCTATACAGAATTTCAGGACACCCAGAGATACATTAAGAGAATCTGTCTCAAAGACAGACGGGGGGTGGGGGTGGGAAGAGAACTTTAGCTATAGTTCTTCATAATCTTATTTAGATTTTTTTTTTAAGAATTATCATTTTATGTGTATGGCTGTCTTACCTGAATGTATGTATGTGCACTATGTATAAGCCTGGTGCCCAAGGAGCTTAGAAGAAGGCATCGGATGCTCTGGGTCTGGAGTTACATACTGTTGTGAGCCACCATGTGGTGTTGGGAATAGATCCTGGCTCCACAGAAGAGCAGTCGGTGCTTTTAGCTGCTGAAGCTCTCTCTCCCGTCACCTTCATACTCTCATAGCCTAATTCTACAAGGAATAACGCAGTGTAATGCTCTTTCCATGACTTTGTACGGAGAGGGACCAAGAACTAAGAAACTCTGATGCCTGCCCTCATTTTAGCTGTCCCAGTGCTATTAGAGATTCTCTACTTCACTAATTAGCTTCTCAGCTGTTGTAGGGATTAGGAAAGGTCTCTTAATAGAACTATGGAATTCAAACTAATAACACCTGTTCTGGAATGTGAGGCAAAAGATGCTGGGCCAAAGAAGGCAAAGTCTGGAGATGAGACGATGTAGCTGGGAAATAGAGGTGGGATTCAGTCATTTCTTAAGGATGGGCAGATCAGCGCCTGTGCACTTTTATTGGGGTGTACGTGTTCCTGTGTGCCATTGTGCATGCATGTGCATGTATGGAGATGAGAGATTGACACTGGGTGTCTTTCAGTTGCTCTCTATTGAGATAGTACCTCCCACTAAGCCTGCTGCACTGAGTCCACTAAAACTGCTGGCTGGCCACCTAGCCCTCAGCACCCTCCCGTGTCTGCCTCTGCAGTGCTGGGATTACAGGCCTGTACACTTGTGCCCAGTTTTGTTTTGTGTTGTTTTTCTGAGACAGGGTTTCTCTTTGTAATCTTGGCTGTTCAGGACTTGCTTTCTAGACCAGGACTTGAACTCACAGAGATCCACCTGCCTCTGCCTCCCGAATGCTGGGATTACAGGCGTGCGCCATCACGCCCGGCTGTTGTGCCCAGTTGTTATACTTGGGTGCTGGGGATGAAACTCAGGTTTTCATGATTGCATGGCAAACCCTTTGTGACTGAGCCATCTCACCAGCCCCCAAAAGTGTAAGCTTTAAATTAAAAGCACATGGAGAGACTGGAGAAATGCTCAGGTATTAAAAACTCTTGCTGCTCCTGCAGAGGATGAGAGTTTAGTTCCCAGCACCCACATTGAGTTCCAAGAGATTTGATGTTCTCTTCTGGCTTTGGTGGCACCTGCATGCACACACACACAAACACAAATAAATAAATAAAATTTTCTTTTTCAGTGGTTGGTTTGGAGCTCACTATGTAGGCCAAGCTGGCCTCAAACTCAGTGATCTACCTGCCTCTGCCTCCCAAGCACTAGGATTAAAGGCATGCGCTACCATGCCCTGCTTTTCAAGACCTAATGTCTAGCATACTGGCTAAGAATATTAAGACTTCTGGGATCAAATAAATTCTACTGTTGCTATGTTTTATTTTTATTTTTTACTTTATTATGTTTATTGTGACAACATCTCAGTATGCATTTCAGGCTGTCCTCAAACTTTCTGTTCTCTTTCCCCTACCTGAGTACTCATACATGCTAGGCAAGCACTCTATTTCCGAGCCATGTCCCCAGTCATAGGCTTCAGACTTTCTGTGTAGCCTAGGCTAGTCTCAAGTTCATGATTGTCTCCTGCCTTAGTTTCTAAGTGCTGGGATTGTTGACTATCCAGGCAAGGGCCATTACACCCAACCTCACTGCTAGGTTTTTGGCATAAGCTTAGTGATTTGGCTCCTAGAAGCCTTTCATTATTAATGTACATAATAAGAACAGAACCTATGTATTGCGTGTTCCCTGCATAGCATGGTACTTGGACATAGAAAATACTTGATAAATGTTAGTTCTTAACACCATTCTTACACATGCTTTTTTTGTTTGTTTGTTTTTGTTTTTTGTTTTTTTGAAACAGGTTCTTACTGTATAGCCTTGGTTGGCCTGTAGATCAGGCTGGCCTCAAACTCACAGATGTACCTGCTTCTGTCTCCCAAGTGCTGGGATTAAAGACATTCCTCACTACACAGGCCTGAGACCTCTCTAATGTTTTTCAGAACTAGGCATACATACTCCTGACAAACGAATAACACCAGTAGTGATTAAAAGAATGAAAACCATGCAGGTGTGACAGCACATCCCTGTAGTAGTTATTTAGGAGGTTAAGGTAGGAAGATCACTTCATCTGAAGAGTTCAGTAGGAGTCTAGAGGCAGTCTGGGCAATATAGTGAGACTGCATCTCAGAATAGGTAGGCATGCAGTTCAGTGGTTGAGTCTTGTGAAGCATGTGCAGGCTTTTAGATTTGATACCCATTTTCATAAACAAACTGATCAGGAATAAAGCCAAGCATAGTCGCAAGTGCCTGTAATTCCAGCACTGAGGAGGCAGATGCAGAAAGATCCCCACAAGTTCAAGGATAACCTGAGTTACATAGGAAAACTCTTTTCTTTAAAAATCCCCTCAAAATAGGCTAGGAGGATGGTTGAGCAGGTAAGGATACTTGCTGTGCAAGCATGAGGTCCTAAGTTAGAAACCCCAGAGTCGACATAAAAAGCCAACTGGTTACTTGTGTCTATAAGTCCAGTGCTGCAGGGGAGGAAACAGGGTTCACTGGCGCTTGCTGACTACTTGCCTAGCTCCCGGTTCAGTGAGAGATCCTGAGTCAAGGGAATAAAATGGAGAGTGATAGAGCAGGAACCTGACATCCTCTGGCTTCTGTGCACACGTGGGCATGCACTCCAATAAACACGCATGCCCACACCACATACACAAATGAAGATAAGTAAAATAAAAAGCAACAACAAGGGCCTGAGAGATGGCTCAGAGGTTAAGAGTGCTGGTTGCTTTTCCAGAGGTACTGAGTTCAATTCCCAGCAACCACATAGTGGCTCTCAACCATCTATAGTGAGATCAGGTGACCACTTCTGCCATGCAATCATACCTGCTAACAGAACATTGCATACGTAATAAATCTTAAAAAAAAAAAATAATAACAGCAATATCCCAGATAAACTAACCAATCAACCAACCAAAACCCGTACTTAGACTGAAATTCCAGTAGCCTAATGACTTTGGATAAGTAACAAATGAAAAAGAAGTGATATCCAGGTTCCTAATTGTCCCACAATTAGAATGCTGAGATGTGGGTGAGAGTGCTTGGTGTGGCCTATCACAGTTTTTCTCTTAACCCAGATATCACACAAATAATTGAGACTCTATTATATGATTAATAATATGCTTTATAACACAAGAACTGAGCAGTTTTAACTCTGAGCTAATTTGGCTTCCTCCCAGCGGAAAATCCAGAGATACTTGCAGTTTGTAGCTTTTGTTGCTGAGCTCTCTTCTGGGTTCTCCTGGGCTCCTGCCCCTGGCTAAGTCCCTCCCCCTACTTCCTCTTCTAACTTCTCTGGCTGGCAGGAAGCCCTATTCTCTCCCCTGCTCAGCAGTTGTCTCTAAGCTGGTTTATTGACATATCAGGGGACAATTGGGAAGCAGAGCTTATACAACATTGAGACAGGAGATTCTCAGAACAAGGATTGTAACCAGTTATTGGTGGTACAGAAATCAGCATTTGAATTGTACAATAACCTTATGTCTACATCTTTCTTTGTGTTTCTGGGGATGAAAACTTAGGTTTTCATGCTGCATGCTAGGCAACTTTGCTGCTACTGACCTCCCTCCGTATTCAGCCCCATTCATTATTCCCTTTGTGTGTGTTATGTATGTGCTCATATATATGTGTATGCAGGTGTATATGCATGTGGGAATGTGTGTAGAGGCCAGAGGTCAATGTTCAGTATCTTCCTTGATCACTCTTCGCCTTCCTTACCTTTTTGTTGTTGTTTGTTTGAGTCAGGGTCTCAATGTTTGTCTTTGACTATCATGGAACTCACTGTGTAGACCAGGTTGACCTCAAACTCAGAGATCTGCCTGCTTCTGCCTTCGGAGTGCTGGGATTAAAGGTACATACCACCACTACTGGCCTCTTTGAGACACAATCATCCCCTAACCTAGAGCACATCAATTTGGCTAGGCTATGTGGTCAGGAGATCACTGATGTGGGATCTGTTTGTCACTGTCCCCTGACACTGGGGTTGCAGACTTGTGCCACTGTTCCTGGCTTTCTGTGGACCTGAACTGAGAAACTCCAAGCCCCCTTCTTCCACATAGATGTCTGTAGTGCTCATTTTTTAAATCTTTTATTTGGAGTTCCTGAAAGCCTCTCCCTTCCAAACCCCCAACCCTAAGTAGGAGAGAGGAGGTTAGTGGGGAGAGGGGGCACAGACCCCTTCACTCCTCCTGGCTTTTTAGGGTCGATGGGTTCTTTTAGGGGGGTGTCCCAATCTCTGTCAACAGCAAATGCAGTCCCCAGTCTCCTTTCAGCTGTTGTGCCCTGAAGAATCTCTATTTCTCCAAACTGCCACACTGGTTGTCGTTTCTGGTCTCTCCAAACTGCCGCTTGCCACATGCTACCACCTTCTCTTTCTGGGCTCTCATATTTATATCTTCCCAGCCCTGGACAATGTCTCTCTCCTGCCGCCAGAGGCAGGCCATTACCTGCTGTCAAAGGCCACATCCCCCCCCCCACCCCTTATCCCTGCATAACAGAATTATCAGTTCTGGACAAACTAAAATCCCACACTTGGGATTAAAACAAAAACACATTTACATAACTGAGTTTACAAAGAAATCAAAACTTCCATTACAGATGTCTCTCTAATTGTTGTTTCTTTCTAAAAGGACATTTGAATTAGCTTTAGCAGAAGAGAAATGGAGGAGCCATAGAATATTAAGGATGAATTCAGGAAGGCCTGAGACCATGGAAAACTTGCCTGCACTCTATACTATTTTTCAAGGAGAGGTATGTTTTACATTTTGAAACTTCCCTTTTAGAGTACTGACAATGTATTTAGGGAGGGAAGCATCTGGTGTCATTCTTCTGTCCATTTGAAACTGTCTTGAATGGGAAGACCATGGGACTTCAGGTACACACACTTTCTTTAAGCTATAGGCTTGACACCCACATTTTGGTGCCTCAAAGAGTCTATAACTTAGACTTTAAACCTTTTTTTTTTTTCTTCACAAAAGTTTCCTTACCAGTTTTCCATTTTAGCAGATAGAATTGTTATCCATTTGGTTCATTCAAGAAATCTGGTCATTGTACTTGATTTCATCCTTTGATTTGGTCTTGATTCCCTCTCTAGTTCCTTCATGAGTCCTAATTAGAGCTCCAGTCTGTGTTGTTATTTATGCCTTTGCTACCCCCTAGACCGAGATCTACAGTTCTTACTTGGATCTGACTGGAACCTCCTGTTTCAGTTGTAGCCCCTCTCCAATTTGTTTATGACACTGCACCCAGAATAACATAACATTTCAAAAATAGGTAACGGCTAGGACTGTGGCTCAGTAGGGTGCTTGTCCAGAGTAGCTTTCATCCCCAACAACACAAACACAGGATGTAGCCTGAAGAGATGGAGGCAGGACAAGCGGGAGTTCAGCTCAGGTTGTCAGGCTTGGTGGCAAGCTCTGTACCTGCTGAGCCATTTGCCAGCCCTATTTTTGTTTAATTTTGAGACGGGGTCTCACTCTGTAGCCTAGCCTGGTTCTAAATTTATGTTGTAGTCAAGCCTTGTTCTCAATTTACAGCAATCCTATTTATCAGCCTTCCACATGTTGCAATACAAGCATGAACTACTACACTTGGCCTAATATATCTTCTTATGTGTTACCATTAAGAAGTGAGGCAGTGTCTCACTTTGTAGCTTTGACTGGCCTAAAACTCACAGTGAAGATCATCTGCCTCTGTCTCGGGAGTGCTGGGATTAAGGGCATATATCTTCCTTACACCCAGCCCTTTTTTGTTTTTTGTTTGTTTGTTTGTTTGTTTGTTTTTGAGACCTGGGGTTTGTAGTAGGAGCCTAGGTTGATCTCCGTCTTACTTAGGATTTCTGTTACTTTGATAAAACATCATGACCAAAAGCAATTTGGGAAGGAAAGGGCTTATTTCACTCACAGCCCATCAAAAAAGTCAGCACAGGAACTCAAAGTAGGAGCCTGGAAATAGGAACTGAAGCAGAGGCCGGCGAAGAATGCTGCTTTTGCTCATGGCTCGCTCAACGTGCTTTCTTTCTTATTTTTTTTTAAGTTTATTTTTATTTTCTGCACATTGGTGTTTTGCCTTCCACATATATCTGTATGAGGGTGTCAGATCTTGGAGTTAACAGAAATTGTGAGCTGTTGTATGGGTACTGGAAATTGTACCTGGATTCCCTGGAAGAGCAGACAGTGCTCTTAACTGCTGAGCCATTTCACCAGCCCCTCAACCTGCTTTCTTATACAACTCAGGACCAGCTGCCCAGGGGTGGCACCACCCACAGTGGAATGGGCCTTCCACATCAGTCACTAATCAAGAAGTCAGTCGGTCTGATAGGGGCATTTTCTCAGCTGAGGTTCCTTTTTCCTAAATGACTCTAGCTTGTGCTATGTTGACAATAGACTAGGCAGTCTGGAAGTCAATGTGTAGCACTGGCCAACTTGGAACTTGTGATTCCCCCCCCCTCTCTACCTCCAGAGTACTGAAGAACTTCATAGTTCTGAATGCTTTGCTAGCAGCACATTGTGTAAGGTTGTCCAGACATCTTTGCTTGTAATCCCAGCACATGAGAAGTGCAGGCAAGGGGAGCATTCCTGTTCATGCCAGCCTGGGCTACAGAGTGAGAGCCTGTCCTGAATAAACCAATTAAAAGGAAAAACAAGCCAGACATGGCAGTATATGCCTTTAATCCCTGGGAGGGAGAGGCAGGTGGATCTCTGAGTTTGAGGTCAGTCTGGTCTTCAGAGTGAGTTCATTGGCTAATATTAAATGAAGGAACAGTTGCATTAAGATTGAAAACAATGTCCAGCTGTAGTGGCTCAAACTTTCATCCCAGCATTTGGAAGGCAGAGGCAGCCTGATCTCTGAAGCCAGCCTGTTGTACATAGTTAAGTTCTAGGTCAGCCAGAGCTACGAAGTAAGACCCTATCTAAAAACAAACTCTCAAACAAACAAAATTGAAAAAAAAAAAGAGATTGAACTCCTAATGTGTGTTAGCGCACACAAGCACACACACACAAACATAAACATGCACACACTCTCACACACATGCATGCATGCACGTACACAGCATTATAAATATTTCCATGAAACTAACTCCTTTCAGAGAGTAAGGAGGTTCTCAGAAGCTCAGCAGTTACCCACTGGGTAAGGAATGACTGGGCTGGGTTCTAAGTCTTCCAACTCTGCCAAACCCTAGCTGGGACTGCACGATCGTACTGTAATTTAGGGAGGAACCAGAGAGAATGTTTTGAGTGGCAGTGTGTAACCAGCATTGCTGCTTTGTGGGTTTTCTCTCTTCCACCCTCCCTACCCTTATTCTTCCTTAGTTTCAATCTCCTACCACTAGATATGAGAGAAAAAAAGAATAAAGAGGAAAGGAAAGCGATCCCTGAATAAAGTCAGAGGTTGGAATGGGGGATGATATTGTTGTTAAACTACTTCCTGCTGATTATGGGCCTTGAGCTCGTTGGGGCAAGTTTGAGTTTTACTGTTAGGATATGCAGTTCCTTCTCGTTTACTTAACAGACCAACAACAACCAACAACCACTTATGGGGATTCTAGCGTTTATATATCCCCTGAAAAATCCCCAGAATTTCAAAAGTTACACAGTTGCAAAAGTACCTTTAGGAAAAAACTATTTGCTAGAGCAGGAGGCAAATCATAGTCAGCTGCTCCAAAGCAGCCCCATATCCCCACAGCTGGGATTAAAACAGAAACATATAATCTTTCTGCGTTTGTTTGTTTTTCAAGACAGGGGTTCCTTGTGTAACAAAGACCTGGCTCTCCTGGACTCAATCTGTAGACCAGACTGGCCTCAAACACACATGGATCTGCCTGCCTCTGCCTCCCTGAGTGCTGGGATTACAGGTGTTTGCCATCACGCCCAGCTACTTCTGTGTCTTTAAAGAAACCAAAATTCTAAAATTCTCACCACAGTGGTAGGTCAGGGTGTTTGTATGCTTCTGTTACAGCCTCTATAACAGTAACAGTTTTACTTTGCTAACTGCTCGCAAAGATTTATCCCAGCAAACCTGTATTTTTTTAAAAACAGGTTAGGCAGTTTTTGCTTTTTTAAGACAGAATTTCTTTGTATAGCCCTGGCTATTCTAGAACTAGGTCTGTAGATCAGGCTGGCCTAGAACTCAGATATTCCCCCTGTCTCTGCTGCCCCAGTGCTGGGATTAGAGGTGTGCACTACCATCTCCCAGTAGGCATCTTTTTTTTTTTTTTTTTTTTTAATTTTATTTCATACTCTGTGGCTTAGGACCTTGGGTGATTAGTGTTGGTTAGATAGAAATATCATTGGAGTAAAATTAAAAAATGTTCTGTGCCTGTATGTGCTACTCCCTGACTTTGGACCAGGAGCTCTGAGCCTCAGGCACATCATTTACATTACGAGCAGCACAACTTTCAAGGCCAATGCAGGCTCTTGTTTAAAGGTGGAAATTCATTTTATCCAAGGCCAGAGTTTTAGTTGAGATAATTACTGAATTTCCCCCCATGCGCCCTCCTGAGTCATTTGAGTGATTATTCTTGGGACCCCAGAAAGACTGTGTGGTCATCTCTGGCAGGTGCCATCCTGTTAATTTCAACTCTAATGGAGACCCTAGGAGACACAGTGGTGGAAACACCTGGCGCTGGAAATAGGCAAGATTCTTCCTTACTGAATCGTTGAAAGCTTCTCTTCTGAAGCACATTAACCTTTCCTTTTGGGAGAGGCCAAATTAAGGTCTGTTATTGCCTCTAAAGACGACAGTGTGAGCCTGGAGCCTCAGGAGTGGGAAGTTATTTTGTCTTAATTTAGAGCAGCAAGGTGGCTTGGGCCCTAACTTCCAGATGCTGCTATTAGGCTCTTCAGCTACTGTGCTCCATAATAATGCTATACAGTGTGAGACTGCGCATCCCATTCTTTAGAATCCTAGAGCAAATATCACTCAGAGTGCCTTAGGTGAGACAGACAGACATGAAAAGACACTGGGGCTGGAAAGATGGCCCAGTGGGTAAGAGCACTTACTGCTCTTACAGAGGACACAGGTTCTTTTCCTGGTACCTGAATGGCGTCATATACCCATCTGTAACTCCAGTCCCCTGTGATCCAGTGTCCTTCTCTGACCTCTCTAGGAACCAGGTATGTGAATAGTGCATGTACATGTGTATGGGCGACACACTCATGCATAAAATAAGCAAATGTAAAATACTCTTTAAAGGGAAATACTTCATCTGGGACCATTTCACATGGAATAAATTACTTTGTAAGCTTGGACAAGCACTTAGTATCTCAGGTCGTCACTCGTTTCATTTGAAAAAGATGACAGGGTCGGACCAGCTAATGTCTTTGTTGTTTTTGAGACAGAATTCCTCTCTGCCCATACACGTGGTCTCATGGCAGTCTTCCTGACTCATACTGACTCCCTTGCTTCCCCCATCCCCTCATGCTAGATCTGAGGGTGTGCACCACTGAGCCTGGCTGGACCAGCTAATTTCTAACATCTTTCTTTTCTTTCTTTTTAGAAATACTTAGTTTTATTTATGTGTATGGGTGTTTTGTTTGCATGTATGTTCATGTGCCATGGGCATGCAGTGCCCTTGAAGGCCTGAAGAGGGCACCGAACTTTGGGAACTGGAGTTGCAGAGGGTTCTTAGCCAGTATGTGGGTGCTGGAAACTGAACCTGAGTCCTCTGTAGGAACAACTACTTTCAACCACTGGCTCATTTCTTCAGTCCCTTTAATATCTTTCTTAAAGTCCTTCTAGTTCTACCTTATCATGATCTGATAATTGTGCTTTTTTTATTTTTTTAAGGTTGGGGAGGGGGGTGCAACTGTTTGAGCCTTACTTTTCCATAGCTTGTTCCACTGTATACCCCGGGAGAATACAATTGAGAATTAATTCAGGAATCCTGTCCCAATGTTCCCATTTAAAAACAAGTAGAGTTCTCAGCAACATAACTCGGTGGATAATAGCACTTGCCACCAAGCCTGACCACCTCAGTTTGATCCCTGAAATTCGCATGGTGGAAGGAGAGAACTGACTTCTGTGAATTGTCCCCTGACTTCCACACTCATCTTATGGCACACGCATGTGTACATACAACACAAAATAACTGTGGTTTTGTTTGTTTGGTTGGTTTTTTAAATGCAGCAGGCTAGAGAGATGGCTGAGAGTTAAGAACATTGGCTGCTCAGGTTCATTTCCCAGCACCCACATGGTAACTCCAGTGCCAGGGTATACTTGCTTCTGGCCTCTGTGAGCTCTGCATGCACATAGTATACAGACATTCATGCAAACAAAACACTATACCATACACATAAAAATAGCAAATAAAATGTTTGATAAAAATGTGAATGCCTGTAATCTTCATTTGGGAAGCAGAGACAGGCATAGCTCTGAGTTAGATGCCAGACTGGCCTACATAATGAGTTCCAGGCCAGCCAGATCTATGCAGTCACATCCTGTCTTGAGAACACAGCATGCAGAAAACCAGTTGTAGTGGCTTGTGCATACATTCTTGGCACCTGAGATCCCGAGCTGCAGGATTGCCATGAGGTTCAGGTTAGCCTGGACTACAGTGTGAGACTGTGTATTGAAACAAAACACCAGAAATAATAAATGAATAATGATAAATAAAGAGAAGAATGAAATTTTAAAAAAATTATACCATTGAATATTGAATTGAGTAATGCTGGTGTTTGGTGGAACAGGAGACCTGTGGCTCCCAGTACCCAAGATCTGTCCCTAGACTGAGTCTAGCAGTTTTTGCCTTTTTATACTTAATTGTCTTGAGTTGTAGGTTATCAGAAACTAGATACCATTGAATGTACATTGTGTGCTAGATAGACTCCAGTGCCGGGCATCTTTACCTATGGTAGCAAATGGAAAACAGGGAGTTTAGGCCACAGGTAGGAAATGACAAAGTCAGGATTAGAAGCCACACTTTTTGCTGCAAAGTCCTCGCTCTTTCTATACCTGTTGTCTCATCTGCAAGACAGGACACTTGCATATTTCTAGGACTGTCACCAGGACAAAACAGGATGTCAGATGTGGTAGCTGTCCCATAGCCTTGGGCCCTTACAGTGTTACTATGAGTCGGAATCCAGGAACAGCTCTTGTGTAATTGAGACTGAGTTTAGACTCCAGGGCTGCTCCTTGGGAGATCTGGACTTGGGTAGTCTCCCCATACATCAGCTCATTGTCAGTCGTCTGTGAATGACAGCAGCAACTCTGTACAGTCATGAGGATTTTTTTGAAGTATTTGTATGTAGTGAATATTCAAAATATCATTGAATGTCAGGGCAAGTAAGTGTCTTGTTGAGTCCCTTTGTTTTGTTCTGATGAAGTTGAAACGGTGATTGCTAGAGGGAGAGGGATGAAAGGCTCTAGAAAGAACACAGTCTAACGTCATGGTCAGCCTCGCCTGCACAGTGAGTTGGGGGCCAGCCTGCATTACCTGAGATCCTCTATCAAAAGAGAGAGGGAGAGGATTGATTCTCAGTTGTGCAACATTGATGTTTTATTTTTCTTTATAGGTTGCTATGGTGACAGACTATGGAGCTTTTATCAAAATCCCAGGCTGTCGGAAGCAAGGTGGGAGCCCTTAACAGGAAATCCAGCACCTGCCATTGCACTCACCCTGCTACGGCCACTACCACATCCTCAGGATAGGAGCTAAATTTTTCAGATAGTTGCTTGTGTGGTTCACTTTATCCTCAGGGTAGCAGTAGGGATAAAGAGTTTTACGTGTGTGAGTGTTTGGCCTCATGTATGTGTGCGTGTGCACTGTGTGCACGCCTTGGTCTTAGGCTTACCAGCATCTGTTAACTGAGCACTAAACTGGTGTTTGCTTATTTTTAGTGATTTATTTATTTTTATTGTATGCACATTGATGTTTTGCCTGCACGTATGTCTGTGTGAGGCTGTCAGAGCTTCTGGAACATGAGTTACAGACAGGTGTGAGCTGCCATGTGGGTGCTGGGAACTGAACCCGGGTCGTCTGGAAGAGCAACCAGTTCTCTTAACTGCTGAGCCATCTCTCCAGCTCCTTGATGTTTGTTCTTGAGAAAGACAGGAGAGGCATTTTACCAGTATGTAGTGGCCTGATCTTGTAATCTCAGCACCCAGAGGAAGGAGAGAAGCCAAAGTTAGAGGCAGGGAAAGACTACATAGTGCGACTCTGTCTCAAAAAATTAAAAACCAAAACAACAAAGAAAAAGAGCTAAGGAAGTGGCTCTGAGAGCATGAGGAATTGAGCTCAGATCCCCAGTGCCCACATCAAAAGCCAGGCATGGCATATATTCTTGTAACCACAACATTGGATTCCAGGAGTTCAGGGGCCAGCCAGCTTGGCCTAAACTTCCTGTTCAGAGAGACCCTGACCCAGGCCACTGCAGCAGAGAATGGCTAAGGAAGACAGCTGATGTCCCGCTGGGGCTGCTGCATGCATGTGTGCGTCTGGACACAAACAGGGTGTTGATCTCCGGGACTGTAGAATGAGGGAAAGATATGGAATCTTTCCAGGTGTGGTGGCACGTTCCCGTAAACACGAAAGAGAGATTGAGGCTGGAGGACTGAACTTGGAGTTAGTCTAGACTACGTGGTTAAATAAACAAACAAATGAACTGTAGGAAACGTGAAACAAAGCTGTACATCAGAGCTTGTGCCTTTAATTTCAGCTCTCTGGGGTCTATGACAGGAGTATTGCAGTAAGTGTGAGACCATGCCACAGAAACAAAAACAGGGTCAGTGAGATAGCTCCGTGGGTAAAGGCACCTGCCACCAAGCCAGGGGTTTGAGTTCAATCTGCCAAACCCACGTGGTAGAAGGAGGGAACCAACTCGTGCAAGTTGTCCTCAGACCTCAGCATGTGTGTCCCCACACACAGAAAATTAGTAAAAACGTGATAAAAGCAAACCAGTAGAACCCAAAAGCTGGGCATGGGAGCATACACTTTTCATCCTAGTGTTCAAGGACAGGCAGGGGCATCTCAGGGAGTTCAGGCCACCCCAAGCTACCTAGTGAGAGACCCTGTCTCAGAAAATCAAATAACACCCCCCCACACACACATGAAACAAGGTAGAACTCATTATTGACCTGAGACAATATCTAAAATAATAAGAATTTTAAAAATCAGTTGTAGAGTATTCATGCCCCTTCCTTGCCTGCCCTTTTGAAAAGTGTGTACCTGTGTCTCTGTATTTTATGTGATGGTGTCCATTCTGAGACTATCGAATAAACTCTTCCCAGTGGCCTCCTGTGGGGAGTTGGCTTGCTGAGAGAAGGATGTACATAGAGGGATTAGTTTTACTTTTTGGAGTCTTGCGTAGTTTGTAGATCTGTAGCTTATAAAGCTGTGCTGTTAGCCTTGGAGCCAACTGTGCTGTGTATTTCATCCTTGCATTAAGCGGCTTACCAGTGGTTTTCAAGTTGGCAGTCAGTCGTCTGTAGTTCCTTGTTTCATGTTGCCTGGGACTTAAGGAGGTAGAGCTCACCCCCCCCCCCCCCAGGACTGGCGCCTCTTTTTGCCTAAAGACGGATTTTTCGTTTTAGTGTACCCGCCATGGCTACTAGTGCCAAAATCACATGGGCATTTATGTGACACTTTGGGGACTTGGTAGAGATGAAAAGCCTGCTACCTTTCAGCAGTCATTTTTCACCTCCCTGTGTCTGTTCCCTGTCAGATAATGCCTGTGATAGTGGCTGACAGCTTACAAGCGGATCTGTCAGTCTGACAGCTGTGCGAGTCTCACAGTGAGAGCTCTGGGAGCCGAGTAATTAGGTAGAAACTGTGAGCTTTGATCCTAGCGTCTTGTGTAGGCAAGGTGGGTATCGTGAGTGGTTGACATTTCTGCACTGTGTCTAGCTTCTCCCAGGGTCCTGACTTGGAGGACTGAGCAGTAAGCTACGCAAGCCTGATCAGAATGTAACGTCTTTATTTCAAGGAGGTACTATTTTGAATTCCTTTCTCACATTCTGTTCTCAGAATTCTTTAACCTGTCAGCTGATGACCTCTTTCTGGTATTCAGATCTAAACTAGTCCTTTTTTGGTTTTGTTTTTTTATATTTATTTGTTTGTTTTGTGTGTACAGATGGAGGTCAGAGTACAACTTAAGGGTTCTGGGTTTGAACTCAGGTCATTATTAGGCTTGGTCGAAAGCACCTTCCCCGCTGAGCCATCTCCCTGGCCTCTCTATAGTGTTTCCATTTCTCTGGACATCAACAAGTTATCTAACAATTCAATTCAATTCTGACATGATCAACCCTGAATTAATATCAGATCCCACAGTTAAAGGGGCTCTGTCCCACAAGATTGCAACCCCCTCAGTACCTGTAAAGATGACCAGCCAACTCTAACTTGGAGGTTTCCATGACCCTCTGCTTAAGTTTGGTAATTTGCTAGAGTGGATCAGGTGTGGTATATACTTAAAATTCCAGCATGGGGAAAATGAAGGTAGGGGAATCAGAAATTCCAGCCTTGTCTACATAATGAATTGGAGGCCATCGTGGGCTACACAAAACTTTTTTAAAAAACAGATGAACAGGGAAATGAGGCACACCTTTAATCCCAACACTCAGAAGGCAGAGGCAGGCAGATCTCTGAGTTCAAGGTCAGCCTGATCTACAGAGTGAGTTCCAGGCCAGCCAGGGGTACACTGTAAGACACTTGTCACAACAAACAAACAAACAAAAGCTCAAAACACCAAACTAAAAGGTCACAGAACTCAGGAAAACAATTTACTTACTTTTGCTGGTTTACAATGAGATGAGAAGTACCATTCAGGAACAAACAATGGAAGGGACACACAGGACAGGTAGCAGTAGAGTGGAGGGAGGATTGGTGTACTCACTAGGTCTACCAGAACTCCCGCGCGCTGCACCAACCATGAGCTATACGGATATCTGCAGGGACTGTTCTGAAGGCCCCTCCCTACTCGCTCCTCCATTCCTGGCAGTGGGGGTTGGATGGATGGGACTGAATGTTACAACCCTCTCATCACTTGATTTTTCTTGTGACCAACCGTGTTCAGAGACTATTTGTCACCTTATTGGCGTGGACTTGGATATGGTCAACGGGGCTTCTTATAACTAATAAGAGCTATTCCTATTAACTCAGATAATCATGTTTGATGGATTCTTTGCTAGAAACAAGGACAAAGACCAAAACAATACACACACACACACACACACACACACACACACACACACACAAATAATGTGTTTTTAGTTTTTATTATTGCCATACATGGGTGTTATGATGCACATGTGGTCAGAGGACAGTTTTGGTATTTCATTCTCTTTTTCCACCTTAGTGATGCTGCCTCTTATTTTTGCTTGGCTGCATACTCTAGGCAGGCCTGTGAGCTTCCTGGCAGTTCTTCTGTCTCTGCCTCCCATTGTGCAGTAGGAGTGCTGGGATTACAGATATGAGCTGCTCCATTTGGCCTTTTGTGTATAGGTTTCAGAGATGGAACTCAGGTCCTGAAGCTTGCTGCTGAGCCAGTTTGCTGCCATTTTTAATTTTTTTTTTGGGGGGGGGGAGGTTTAAGATCTTACTGTATCTTAGGCTAATCCACAGTAATCCTATATTAGGCTTCTAGATGATAAGATTATGGGTATATACCATCCCACCCAGCCAAATGGTTTTTTGTTTGTTTGTTTGCTTGCTTGCTTGCTTATTTTGTTTTTAGAGACTGTCCTGGAACTGTCCTGGGCTGTCCTGGAACTCACGCTATAGACCAGGCTGGCCTTGAACTCAGAGATCGGCCTCTCTCTGCCTCCCAAATGCTGGGACTAAAGGCATGCACCACCATTGCCTGCCTGCCAAATGTTTTTTTTTTTTTTTTTAAAGATTTACTTATTTCATGTATGTGAGTGCTCTGTCTGCAGATCTCAATATAGATGGTTGTGAGCCATATGATTGCCAGGAGTTGAACTCAGGACCTCTGGAATAGTAGACAGTGCTCTCAACTGCTGAGCCATCTCTCCAGCCCTCCAAATGTATTTTTATGTTTTCTGTTTTACCACGTCTGCAATCTAATACAGTTGCTGCTGACTTTTTTATTTTAACAATTAAATGTAAAATAGCTATGCAGCTAGTGACTGTCACAGTAACAGCGGAGTCTGGTACAACTACATACAGGAACAAATTAAAATAGTGTGTAATGAAAGTGAAGGAGGGTGCTGGAGAGATGGCTCAGTGGTTAAGGCACCGGCTGCCTTTGCAGAGGACCCAGGTTCAATTTCCAGTACCCACATGGAAGCTTACAACTGTCTGTGACTCTGGCACCAGGGGATCTGATTCCCTCACACTAATGCACATGGAATAAAATTAAGTAAATTATTTTTAAAAGAAAGAAAGTGAAGAAGACGGCCTTGAATTCACCCGAGCCATTCAGATGGCTCAGGGAGGGCCTACTATACAATGTCTGAGATACAGTGGGCAGTCAGTGTCTTCTTGCATAAGCACATGAGTTCAAGTCCCAGCTCTGCCATTTACTAGTTTCTTGGCTTGGGAAAAAAATCACTTAATGTTTTTCATCTGTGGAATGGGGGTGATGTGTATCTGTTAGAGTCTGATTATTTGTTTGACA